AATGCATGCCACTGTTGTATTTCAAAAATTTCTCGTGTTGAATTCATTATTTTATATAGAGAAGTGAGTGAGTGAGAAAGGTAAGTGAGAGAAAGAGAGAGTATGAGAGAGAAAGTGAAGATATTTATTTGTATAAATATTATTATATAAAATGAATATTATTGTATGAATATTTGAATATTATATGAATATTGAATATTATAGAAATTGAAAAGTTTTTTTAGAAGAGAATTTAAATCAATTAATCAATTAAAATTATAATTTAGAAATTGTCCTATTTGTTAGAATAATTTTTTGCAACAAAAAAACTGCATCAAACCAGTCCCGTTAACACAACATAAAAACAAATACTATTCTTAACGACAACAACACAACATTTTTATTTTATATATATTTTTGAAAATTGTCGAGCTTAAATTTCGTATTTCTAATTTGGTCACTTTTATTTATTCACAGTACATACATTTATTTATATATTAGTAAGAATATTTTTCCTTGTATGCATATGCATTAATTATGATTACCTTTCAAGTCAAGGAGTGAGAAATTTAGTAAAATTACCTGATTGTTGTTATTTATAATAAGTCGTACGAGTATAACCTTTTACATAAGGATTCCGTATGAATCTATATCGTTTATATTGTTTTAATAAATTATTTTAAATTATTTCCATAAAAAGAGCGCCAAAAGAGCGTTAACTGAGCATTAAAAGAACATTTAAAGAGGAAAGGTCGACCGAGTTAAAAAAATAAAACTCATCATTTAAAGATTTTCAAGATTCTCAACTCGTAATTTACGATGATGGATCATCATCATTAATTGATGTCTTGCATACGCATACGAAACAGATAGTGTTTCGTATAATTAAATTAAATAATTATTTAACGAATATTTATTTATTTATTTTATTTATATTCATTTTATTTATATATTCTTCTATCAGCTATTTTATTATTTTTAAAACAAATAATTAATTTCTATAAAAAAATATGAAAATAATTGATAACGAATAGTAATAATATAATAATGATGAAGATGATCATAATTCTAACCAAATTAATTTAATTAATTTTCTTTCTTTACAGGAGAAAAAATTTCTTTAGATTCATTTAATACCATAAGTTTTCTTTCTGATAATTCTCTAATAATATTTTTTTTGAATTGATCAAAAACTCTTTCAAAATCCATAATACTTATCGCTGGTTCTCTTGAAGTCCAATATTCATTAAATGAATGAAATAGATAACCTTTGTAAAATAAATATTAAATTTAATATTAAATAATAATATTTAGTAATAATTAATAAAAAATTAATAAATAATAATGGCTATTAATAGATAATAATACTTACAGAAAAATTCATGATAAACATCTTTACTAATTTTATATTTAAATAAAAAATATTGTAATTGTCTAGTTCTAAGAATAAAAAAGGATCCAAATTGTTAAATAGAAATAGACAAATTTTTGCATTCTTTATAATATAATATAATTTAATGATTCAAATATACACATTATATATATAATAATTCACTGTAAATGTCTTATTAGAAAACAAACAACAAAGTTATAATTAATAAATACTCGTCGGAAAAATTATGCAATTATTTCCTTTGAAACGGAAGAGAAACTTCTTAAATGCGGAAATGATGCATTTACAAAAGATGTGATATGATTTACCAAGCCAAATAATTGGATGACACCATTAAAAATTTTATTGGAAGATATAAAAATTGCGAAATATTATATATTTTATATATTGCACTTCTAATCTAACCTAACCCTAACCCTAAAACCTAACTTAATATAACTTAACATAAAATAACCTAAAACATTATATTCTCTGAGAAAAGGTTTAAGAGTCATTATATTTTCTCTTATTATTTATCAAACTAGATAATGGAGATAATTTCTTATTTTGAAGTATGTTAACGGTACGTAAAACATTCTCTCGTTAGTTTCGTGTTAAACTTTTTTTTTTTAATAAATTCATCATTAAAGCGTGAATGAAAGCGTAAAAGAATGAATATATAAAGAATGAATAAACGAAAGGATAAAAGCAAGAATACCGAAGAATTCAATAAAAAAAAATATCCATTTTTTGAGGCACGAAAATAATTATGGATATTCATGGTTATTTATTTATAGTTATCACGTAAAATTTTTTAATATTTATAATGCGGAAATTTTATTAATCAAGGAATTAACGTTTTAAATTTTTTTTACTTTCGGTATCGTGCGTGTAATAATATAACAGATAATACCTGATATAAAAAAACAATAATGTACTAAATCTACTAAATCTACTAAATCTATTATATATGATAAGAAAGAGAAATAAAGTAATTATAAAATTCGTTCACAATAACCACAAAAAAAAAATGAAATAATGCTATATAAACTTAATATTATATATATTCTCGTTATTCGAGAAAAGGAAAATTACCAGATATTATTATCAGATATTATTACCAGATATTATTACCAGATATTTTTACCAGATATTAACAAAATGTTAACAAGAAGAAGAAGTAGTCGCTTCCGGAACCAAATTCAACAAAATCTCAGTATTTATTTCTAAATACATGGGATATTTTGATTGATTCGTAACAATATATTTATAACCTGGACTATTTCGAACGTTATGAAAATGTTTTACCACAAATTTTAAAAATTTCTTCTTTAATTCAGGCCATTTCCAAGCATTTCCAAATAAACCTTCAGCAGCATTAAAAAAATTTATATCTTCAATTATTTTTGCTTTGGCTTTAAGTTCTAAATCGGTGATCAAATATTTGTTTGAAATTGTATATAAATCCCAAATATTTGTACATTCGCTAAGTTCCACTTGATCGGTATAAAGGTATAATAACATTTGAATCACTGTGTTATAATCGAAATCCTTGATTTCTATGTGAAAATTATAGTTTCTAGATTCTTTGTTATTATTATTATTACTGTCTTTGTTGATATTAATCTTTTTGTCTTTATTATTGTTATTATTGTTATTACTATGATTGCTGTTGCTGCTATTATTGCTATTAATGCTAGAAGATGATTTGTGTTGTTTATTACTACTAGAAATATTGTTATTACTACTAGAAATATTATTATTACTACTAGAAATATTATTATTACTACTAGAATTATTATTATTACTAGAATTATTACTTGATGAATTACTAAAATTACTACTTGAAGAACGATTACATTCAAACCACGTTCCTTGAAACATTCTTTGAAAATAATCAGAACGTTTAGCTAAAATGGTACTACTGGCATAAATTGTTTGCCCTTGAACCGTAATTTTAACATCACCCGATCCAGCTCTTTTAAATTCATTATTCCAAGCTACTTCTAAATTTCTAGGTACGGACCTAAGTTGAATTGATTTTTTAGGAATATTTAAAGATTTATCAAATTGATCAAGAAGTTTTGTTCTCCTTAATCTTACTCCCATTATTATACTATCTGTAAGAAATTCTCTTTTACAAAATTGCGCCATTCCTATATAAATTAATAATAAATCAATAATGAATGAATTAATAATATAATAAAATAATAATAAAATAATAATAATAAAATAATAATAAATAAATAATAATAATAATAATAAAATGATAATAAAATAATAATAAAATAATAATAAAAAATAATAATATTTACGTAATCTTCTAATCTTTACAGATTTAAACTGAAACCTTGAAGAAGTAATCATTTGTTTGATGAAAGTTCCATCCAACCTTTTTATATACAAAAGAGCAGGTAGACAGTCGTTCCTTAATGGATCATATTCTTCTATCTCATCTGTATTACATATCGCATGAAGATAAATTGCACAATATTCGGGATCATTTGGTGATTCCTATTAAATTAATTATAATGATTATAATTATTATAATCGAATTATATTTATTATAATTATTATAATTGAATTATAATTAATTATAATTAATATAATTTTAATATCAACCTACAAGAACAAATCCCAATTGCCAAGAAACATTTGGCATGGTTTCAAAATGAGGACTACAAATTTTTCCTTCGAGTTGACGAACATTTGATAACTGATATTCAAATGAACAAAATGTATATTCATTTTCCCTATTTTCTCTTGATGATGATGATGTTTGATTATTATTATTATTATTATCACCTGATTGATGATTATTATTATTATTACTATTATTCATCATATTATTGGTATTTAGGGCCCTTTTTTTTTTAAAAAAAAAATAATAATAATTAAAAACCATTATTAATTATCATATAACTTATACATGAAATATATTTCTATCCAATATATTAATATATATTTAGATCTAATATTTCAATAAATCATATCCTTATAATATAAACTATAATAAACTATATAAGCATATATATGACATATTTAAATAGAATATAATAAAACTTACCTGCTGTTGGTGCTGGATTGAAGCCTAAATTCTCTTATCCTCATGAATTTAAATAAAAAATGATTAAAAGAAAATTTGTTTTATTTTTTATTGAGAAAGAAAAATTAATATTAAAATAATGAAGGTGGTAGCAGGTAGTAGAAAAAATTAGAAAAAATTAGAAAAATTAGAATAAGTGAAAAAAAAAAACTAATACAAAAAAATATAAGATTTTTAATCATCAATAGGATTCATTACCTGTTCCCTTATAATAAATATTTATTAATTATTTTTTCTTTTAAAAAAAAAAAAAAGCTGATTTATTGATAAACTATATCCGGATTTATTTGTACTACTAAATATTTTATTCATTACAATCTTTTACAATCATGTGACCAAATATTCTCTTTCTGTAAAATATTTAAATATTTCAAAATATTTAAAAAAAATAAAATAAAATTTAAAGTTTATACCACACCAACCAAGATTATTAATTTATTAATTATTATAAATATATGCAACTGTACTGTGTAATTACATACAAAATTATCAATCGATCTTTTATGAGCTAAAATTAGATGTATATGTATATGTATATGTAAAATAAATAATTAACTAATTCTATTAATGAATTCTATTGAGAGCTAATTATGAATGAGTACTAATTATGAATTTTATTAATGAATGCTAATTATGAATGCTAATTATGAGTGATTCTTTGAAATATTTATTTATTGTGTTTTTTTATCCTATTAATATTGAATTATTATTATTGTTATAAATATTATATTATTATTGAATTATTGTTATATTTAATATAATTTTGGAAAAAAATGAAAAAAGAAAAAAAGAAAAAGGGAAGAGAAAAAAAAGCTATAATACAGGAAAAATTAAAAGTACATTATCAACAAATAATTATCTATATAAATAATTAATAACGGTAATCAGGCTTTCTTTATATATCCGCTATTCTTATAATCAAATCCATGTTTTTAGTTAAAACCTTTAATTAATAAAAACAATAACAAATTAGTAATTTGATTCAAAAAAAAAAAAAAAACTAAAATGACGACAAATTAAATATATTTAAAATATTTACCTCTTTTAATTCTTTTTCTAATGAATCCACTTTCCTGTTTAATTCGGATTTTTCTTTGGATAATACATCATTTTCATATGCCGCAAGTGAGTAATTGGTTTTATGCTTTGATAATTCTTTCTTCCACATATCACATTCAACTTTAACTGCTTCGATTTGTTTTTCTAATTCTGTTATTTGAAATTTCATTATCGTACTATTATTATTTTCCATCCTTAATGAAACTTGTTTATTAAACGTTTCCGTCTCTTCTCTTTGTGACCTTTCCATAATCTTAATTTGTTCTCGAAGATTGGATATGGCTTCCTCATGTCGTCTCTTAAGTTTTTCCTTCTCTTCTCTTTGTGACCTTTCCATAATCTTAATTTGTTCTCGAAGATTGGAAATGGTCTTTTCAGCTTCACTAACTTTTCGTTCAAATGTTATTACTCGCTCTCGTGAATTTTCACAATCTCTTATGACCTTTTTATATTTTTCGTTCCATTCTTTAACTTCCAAATCTTTTTCCATCAACTCACATTCATAATTAGAAATAAGATCTTCTTCCTTTTGACGCCATGATTCTCTCTCTGAAGCGAATTCCGTCATAAATGTTTTCATCCCGTTTTGATGTTCTTCTAAACGTTTGGATAATGTATCTTTTTCTTTTTCGAAATTCGTAGAATTTTCAAGTTCTTTCGATTTATTATCTAATTCTATTTTAACATTTATAAGTTCACTTTGTAATTTATCTCTTTTAGATTCAACTATTACTGAAT